ATACAATTACAAATGGTGAAACGGTTGGAGTTCTGTTATCATTAGAATATCACACTCCACTCAACCAATCAGATTCGAGGACCAGAAACAGAAAGAACTGTTGAATATATATATATTCAACAGCTTTGAAAATACCCCCAAACTATAATTTAAAGCTATTATTGAGTTGAATGTTTAGGCTACACTGGCCTAACATAAAGTATGGAACATAAAATAAGATAATTTAAGAAGCATCTCAGTATTTTTTGTTCATGCAATGAAAGTTACTAGTGACCAAAACAGCTTCGTTACCAACAGTATTTAAAATACCTTCTTTTATGTTGTGCAAAAGAAAGTAAGTCGTTCAGGTTTGAAACAACACGAGGGTGAGTAAATTATGACATTATTTATTTATGGTGAACTATCCCTTTAATGTTTGTTATTTATTTATTTGTTTATTTATTTATTTTATAAATTAAATGATACTCTAAAGAAGAAACTAAAACTACCAGCAGATGGCGGTAAATGACTTTATGAGTTGAATCGTTCAAACGGTTGATTCATTCAGGAATTCAGTAAAAGGCTCTCTCTATGAATGGGCTGCTGAGTCATTGGTTCACATGATTCATTCAAAACGCGGATTTATTCAGAAACTAAACACCGCTGTGTTATGCAATGAAAGTTACTAGTGACCAAAACAGCTTCGTTACCAACAGTATTTAAAATACCTTCTTTTATGTTGTGCAAAAGAAAGTAAGTCGTTCAGGTTTGAAACAACACGAGGGTGAGTAAATGATGACATTATTTATTTATGGTGAACTATCCCTTTAATGTTTTTTATTTATTTATTTGTTTATTTATTTATTTTATAAATGAAATGATACTCTAAAGAATAAACTAAAACTACCAGCAGATGGCGGTAAATGACTTTATGAGTTGAATCGTTCAAACGGTTGATTCATTCAGGAATTCAGTAAAAGGCTCTCTCTATGAATGGGCTGCTGAGTCATTGGTTCACATGATTCATTCAAAACGCTGATTTATTCAGAAACTAAACACCGCTGTGTTGCTCGCAGACGCACAACAGTTCTGCTGTGGCTTTTAAGGTAATATTTTCTTTGTCAAAATTGAATAAAAGCACACAGTATTGTGTTTAAAATATATCACGATATGAACTTCTTATTTAACTGTTGTATAGACCAATTATTGGTTTGTAAACATTCAGGATGCGCGCGCATCATGGTTGCAGAAAACCCAGGAGAGCTAGCCTATACGGCTAGAGAATTTCACGGATACGGTACAAAATAGTTAGGTTTGAAAAGATTATAAATTATATTGATTAGATGTCATTTTCAAAATGTTCTCCGCATATTACAAGAGCTTGTCACCCAGCGATAAGTACTGTTATTCCACGAAATTGACGTTAGAGAGTGGGATAGTCTTACAGATCCGAAACAGGGATGACGTTTGTTGTGGGCGGAGCCTATCTGGAGGCAGAAAATGACGGTTTTCAAGCGGCAGTCTATGGAGCCATGGGCCCATGGAATAAAATAATTTTAAAAAAGGTAAATTGTGATTTTATATTTCACAATTATGACTTTATTCTCGCAATTCCGAGATTATATCTCACAATTCTAGTAAGGAAAAACAACTCGTCATTCTCTCTTTTCCCCTCGGCTCTTCTGGCTTTTTTCCCTCAGATTTGACAAACTCACTATTTTTGAGTCGAGTTATAAAGTCAGAATTAGGAGATATAAACTTGCGTTTACGAGAAAAAAAGTCAGAATTGTGAGATAAAATAAATACATGTTATGTAAAAATGTTAATAGTAAGGTTTAAATAATATTTCTAATAGTAAGGTTTAAATAATATTTCATGCTGTAACTGTAGGGCTAATACAATACGTCCCCTATGAACAGCATATGTGAATATTATGTAGACCTATTGTTTACATCGAATTTATGCTTTAAAAGTAGAGTAACCATAACAGTTTTCATCCATAGTATGTCCATTTAAACGTCTGCGTTTAGCTTCAAATGGCGTCTTTGACGACAGTATTCTATAAAAATGTTTTGCATTCCGATCTTGACATCAAAAGGCACAAAAATATATTTTTTATTTTATTCCATGGATTTTAACCATTTATCTCCACTTGTTCCCAGTGTTTTTCTGCAACCACTATGTGCACGCAGCTGCAAGTAATGTAACTGTGACGTCTACTCTAAATTGGTCCCTTGTGGGGACCGCAGGCACACACACATGCACACACACACACGCGCACAGGGCATTTATGACTTGTAGCACTTTAGGAAGTTTGTGTGTTTTAATGAGAGAAAAACTGGCTGACCTCATGGTTCAGTATTTGATCTGTCTTTGTCTCTGTCCCAGGCCTCTCATAAAAGACAGGAGCTGGTGCTCCTTCCTTCCCGCTCCATTGTTAGGGCTGGATGGGGAATCCCTGCGCTCGGATGCTGTGCACGTCCCAGCCTCGTGGAGCGCTCTGCCTGGATGCAGCAGCCGCTGAGACTCCTGAGAGGAAGACACACATGCGGGTGAAGGATGGGTTACACTTCCTCACTTACTGTACACTGATGAGTGCCCTCATACTTTACCAGCAAAAGTCAACACAATACCACTCTTTAGACACACACACACACACACACACATACATCGTTTTATTAAAACTAATGTTTGAGTTCTAATCTCTTTTCCATTACACTGTGAATAAAATTGGACAACTGGTAAGTTTTGCACTTTTGGTCACATCCCCAGAGCTGCAGCTATTACATAAAACAGAGTGTTTTGCTAAATGAGGAAGAATCCAGAAACAGCTCTCTTGTATCTGTACTTTTGGATAAAGTGCCCCTATTATGGATTTTTGAAAATTACCTTTCATGTAGTGTGAACACAGCTCTAAGTGAATGAAAACATCCTGCAAAGTTTTAAATCTGAAAGTGCACCGTGCATATAGTTATTGTCTCTCAAAAGAAACAGTCGACTCTTAGTCATTGTAACGATTAGTTTTTAAAACGAATCCCAAGCCGTTTCAAGTTGAGGTCAACATGAAACATTAGCATATTGCCCAACCACTTGTTGGTCTTTTCGCATTGGTCTGAATGAAAATGCAAATTCTTTCTTTGCCACTAGGTGCCGCTTTTGGAGCAGTAAAAACAGCTGTTTCCTCGGTAACGCTGTACACAAAGCAGCACTGCGCTCACAAACGCTGCTTTATCAGTGTCACGGTGCAGGGTGCCTTCTCGGCTTCCCCTGCGGTCTGTGTTGTCCTGTCATGTTCGGTAGCTCGTGGTCTGGGCAATCAGCGCTGATCTTGCAGCGGGGGTTCGCGGATCACGAGCTGACTCTCCCCCACCTGTCGCTCATTCCCCCACTCCCTTATATGTCTCTGCCTTTCTGTCCTTCGTCGTGAGTAGTTTGTTTTGTCCTTGCTCGTGTTTTGTGTAACTTATGAGTGCAAGCATCAGTGTCTGACCCTCTGTTCTCCTGTGCTTAAGGACTCGTAATACGGAGATCCGGCAGCTCGAGTGGTCCGCAGTAATAGTAAGGTTTAAATAATATTTCTAATAGTAAGGTTTAAATAATATTTCTAATAGTAAGGTTTAAATAATATTTCTAATAGTAAGGTTTAAATAATATTTCTAATAGTAAGGTTTAAATAATATTTCTAATAGTAAGGTTTAAATAATATTTCATGCTGTAACTGTAGGGCTAATACAATACGTCCCCTATGAACAGCATATGTGAATATTATGTAGACCTATTGTTTACATCGAATTTATGCTTTAAAAGTAGAGTAACCATAACAGTTTTCATCCATAGTATGTCCATTTAAACGTCTGCGTTTAGCTTCAAATGGCGTCTTTGACGACAGTATTCTATAAAAATGTTTTGCATTCCGATCTTGACATCAAAAGGCACAAAAATATATTTTTTATTTTATTCCATGGATTTTAACCATTTATCTCCACTTGTTCCCAGTGTTTTTCTGCAACCACTATGTGCACGCAGCTGCAAGTAATGTAACTGTGACGTCTACTCTAAATTGGTCCCTTGTGGGGACCGCAGGCACACACACATGCACACACACACACGCGCACAGGGCATTTATGACTTGTAGCACTTTAGGAAGTTTGTGTGTTTTAATGAGAGAAAAACTGGCTGACCTCATGGTTCAGTATTTGATCTGTCTTTGTCTCTGTCCCAGGCCTCTCATAAAAGACAGGAGCTGGTGCTCCTTCCTTCCCGCTCCATTGTTAGGGCTGGATGGGGAATCCCTGCGCTCGGATGCTGTGCACGTCCCAGCCTCGTGGAGCGCTCTGCCTGGATGCAGCAGCCGCTGAGACTCCTGAGAGGAAGACACACATGCGGGTGAAGGATGGGTTACACTTCCTCACTTACTGTACACTGATGAGTGCCCTCATACTTTACCAGCAAAAGTCAACACAATACCACTCTTTAGACACACACACACACACACACACATACATCGTTTTATTAAAACTAATGTTTGAGTTCTAATCTCTTTTCCATTACACTGTGAATAAAATTGGACAACTGGTAAGTTTTGCACTTTTGGTCACATCCCCAGAGCTGCAGCTATTACATAAAACAGAGTGTTTTGCTAAATGAGGAAGAATCCAGAAACAGCTCTCTTGTATCTGTACTTTTGGATAAAGTGCCCCTATTATGGATTTTTGAAAATTACCTTTCATGTAGTGTGAACACAGCTCTAAGTGAATGAAAACATCCTGCAAAGATTTAAAACTGAAAGTGCACCGTGCATATAGTTATTGTCTCTCAAAAGAAACAGTCGACTCTTAGTCATTGTAACGATTAGTTTTTAAAACGAATCCCAAGCCGTTTCAAGTTGAGGTCAACATGAAACATTAGCATATTGCCCAACCACTTGTTGGTCTTTTCGCATTGGTCTGAATGAAAATGCAAATTCTTTCTTTGCCACTAGGTGCCGCTTTTGGAGCAGTAAAAACAGCTGTTTCCTCGGTAACGCTGTACACAAAGCAGCACTGCGCTCACAAACGCTGCTTTATCAGTGTCACGGTGCAGGGTGCCTTCTCGGCTTCCCCTGCTGTCTGTGTTGTCCTGTCATGTTCGGTAGCTCGTGGTCTGGGCAATCAGCGCTGATCTTGCAGCGGGGGTTCGCGGATCACGAGCTGACTCTCCCCCACCTGTCGCTCATTCCCCCACTCCCTTATATGTCTCTGCCTTTCTGTCCTTCGTCGTGAGTAGTTTGTTTTGTCCTTGCTCGTGTTTTGTGTAACTTATGAGTGCAAGCATCAGTGTCTGACCCTCTGTTCTCCTGTGCTTAAGGACTCGTAATACGGAGATCCGGCAGCTCGAGTGGTCCGCAGTGTCTGCCGGCCAGCTCTGGAATCTCCGCTCACCTTAGCAGCAATTAAATATTGTTTATGTTATTTTGTGTTTTGTGGCGAGAATAAAGAATCTCCTTTCTCACAACTCTGCATCTGAGTCCTCTATCTATCCTAGACCCTGACAGAATCTACACCAATGGAGTTTTGTCGCCTCTGGCTTGCTTAGTTGGGGACACTTCATTTCCAGCGATATCGTTGACATGATTGCAAAGATATTATTTAAACTGAGCTGGATGTTGACATCGCTGAATTCAATGATGAACTGTCTTTAACTGAAAAATTAGTGTTTACTATTGTCATTTTGCATTATTGACACTATTTTCCTAATTAATGCTGTTCAGTTGCTTTGACACAATCTGTATTGTTAAAAGCACTATATAAATAAAGGTGACTTGACTTGACTTGACTCACCACAATAATGGATTTTTTTCTTCTTCTTTGATTCTTTCTTATTTGAGAGCAACTGTAACATGGAAAGCAATTTCCCTTTGGGATTAATAAAGTTTTTAAAATTGAATTGAATTGAAACGGATTTGCGCCGAGCCCTCCTGCAGCAGGGCTCTCTTCTGGGTCGACAGCAGGAGGAACTCACGGCTTCTCGTCACACCTACTCTGAGATTTCTCTCCAACTCAACCAGCTGGTGGAACGGCTTGACCAGCTGCAGGCCAGCCCTTCGACAGCTCGGGCTGGCACACCCGCTCCTGGCCCTGAAAGAGCAGTTCCTCGCCACGTGGCCGCCCGCTCCAAACTCGGGTGGGTCCTGTCATGTTCGGTAGCTCATGGTCTGGGCAATCAAGGGCTCCTGCAGCAGGGCTCTCTTCTGGGGCGACAGCAGGAGGAACTCACGGCTTCTCGTCGCGCCTACTCTGAGATTTCTCTCCAACTCAACCAGCTGGTGGAACGGCTTGACCAGCTGCAGGCCAGCCCTTCGACAGCTTGGGCTGGCACACCCGCTCCTGGCCCTGAAAGAGCAGTTCCTCGCCACGTGGCCGCCCGCTCCAAACTCGGGTGAGCCCAACTCATGTCGGTCATTCCTGTCCCAATGCTCGCTGACTTTCACTCTCCAACCTTCTTGTTTCCCCACGGAGCAATCCAGGGTAGCGTTCGTCATCATGCTCTTGGTGGGTCAAGCGAGAGAGTGGGGAACGGCCATGTGGGATAGCGAGCATGACTGCTGTTCTCGATTGTCAGGATGTTTGTCAGGTTTGTCAAGGTGTTTGTTCGCTCGGCACGGGGAATTGAGGTGGCACGAGCCCTGTCGCTGCTCCAGCAGGGAGAGCAGTCCGTGTCCTGTTACTCCATTGAGTTCCGCACGCTCGCCACATCCTGTGGCTGGAATGAGAAGGCACTCTGGGATCACTTCCCCCACGGCCTGGCTGAGCACATGAAGGATGAGATCTATTCCCTTGAGCTGCCTTCTGGCTTGGATGGGTTGATCGACCTCGCCATTCGGGTCGACGACCGGATTGCTCTCCGTTCCCGGCACCGAAGAGGTGGGATTCCCCGCAAGCACGTCACTGGGGCGGAGTTAGTAGCGGCGTGTGACACGCTGTCTCAACGCCTCATCCTCCCGGAGGAGGAGCCTATGCAAGTAGGGAGAGCACGGCTGACCATAGGGGAGCGACGGTGTCGCCTGGCCAATCAGCTGTGTCTCTACTGCGGTGAGGCGGCCCATGTTGCAGTTGCGTGCCCTGTTGCGGGAGCGATGCTTATAACGCAAGGGAGATCGCATGGTGAGCGACTACTATTACTACTACTCGACTGCCATCTGGTGGTCGTTCAGAGTTTCAAGCTTCATTACAGTTCGGGGGAGCTGTCTTCCAAGTTTCTGCATTAATCGACTCTGGAGCGGAGGGGGACTTAATGGATTCCAGATTGGCTACACGTCTGGGGATTTCGTCCTTTGCCCTGGCAGAACCTATTTCTGCCAGTACCCTTCGTGGTACCCATCTCACTAATATTACCCACGTCACTAAGTTCGTTACGCTAACCTTGTCTAGTAATCATGCCGAGGAGATCCGATTTCTCCTTATTCATTCGCCCACCGCTCCAGTGGTGTTGGGTCATACCTGGTTGGTTAAACATAACCCCCATATTGATTGGGCTCGCGGGTCTATTTTGGCTTGGAGCCCTTTCTGTTTAGCTCAATGTTTGGGTGCTGCATTTTCCCCAGTCTTGTCTTGTTCTGTGTTGCAGGAGGAGCCGGTGAGGCTTACTATGACTTGAGAGCGGTTTTCAGTAAGTCCCAAGCTTCATCTCTGCCTCCGCACCGCCCGTACGACTGTGCGATTGACCTGTTGCCTGGCACTTCTCCACCTAAGGGGTGCCTTTACTCTCTGTCCGGTCTGGAGAGGGAGACCATGGAGAGGTATATACACGTTTCTCTGGTAGCAGGCATTATCCGTCCCTCTTCTTCTCCAGCTGGGGCGGGGTTCTTCTTCGTGGAGAAGAAGGATGGTTCGCTGCGCCCCTGTATTGACTATCGGGGGTTGAAAGACATCATTGTAAAGAATCGTTATCCTTTGCCGTTGATGTCATCGGCCTTCGAGCACTTGCAGGGGGCAACCATCTTTGCGAAGTTGGACCTCCGTAGTGCTTATCACTTGGTTCGGATTAGGGAGGGGGACGAATGGAAGACCGCCTTTAACACCCATACGGGGCATTTTGAGTATTTGATTATGCCGTTCGGGCTTTCTAACTCACCGGTGGTCTTTCAGGCACTCGTCAACGATGTGCTCAGAGACATGGTCGATCGGTTTGTTTTGTTTACATTGACGACATCCTGACAATCCTAGACCCTGACAATCAGGCATTACAGGCTCATGATGAAATGAATATGAGACCAATCAGACTAATCACCGCAGATTAGAGTCAAGCAAAGGAGGCGTTTGGAAAAATGAATCGTTGAGCGAATCGTGTGGGAGTCGTTGAGCAAATAAAGTAAAAATGTATGCATATTATAAGACAATGGACATGTTTTTTGACCTTGCATGCAAGTCAACCTGTTGATGGGGACTCCCAAAACCAAAATATGAACTTTTCATAACCCATAATAGGGGCACTTTAACATATTGGCCTAAACAGAAAAACTGTATTTGGAAATCAGATGGAATTGTATACATATATGTTACAGAACAACAAAACTATCAAGATGAAACTGTAAAATGTGTTAATATGCATTTAGACCAACACAAACATTCATATGCCATCAGTGCGACAGATTTTTCTATCGCGCTGTGCAGGAAAACAGCAACCAATAAGATCTGTGCTGCTGCTGTTACATCATACTGGTGCCGCTCACGAACAGACTATTTTTGCCTTGTGAGAATGAATAGCAGAAGAAGAATCCATAACAGCGGAGATGGATACAGAGTAGCTCTTTGGTGTTGTTTCATAAATACCATACACAAATCTGGACAGGATTGATTAAATATGTTAAACGGCTATTTGAAAACACGTAAAACCCACATTTTTTCCCATTGGCTTTTAGATTACTGCAGAAAATAAGCTCTGTGACAACAAACGCTTCTTGTTTATCATGACGATCAAAAATGAAAACAACTGTTATTTATTTTGAAGCCTAAATACAATCACCAGAATTAAAAAAAGCTAAATGGTACGCTGTAAATGAACAACACCACAGTCACATGACTTCAACATCATCACCGTTAGGCATCTGACAACTCCTTTAGTTTTTATTTAACCACATTTTTCCTGAAGGTTTGAGTTGTTTTAGATACTTGTTAGCAACCGCCTTTTCAAAACACAAAAAATAGAATAAAGAGTGAAAATATCTTGAGATTTCAGGCATTTAACCAAAAGCCCATTCACTTCAGGACAATGGCATTGGCTTTAGAACGTTTCTAGGTTTTGACCTGCAAAAGTACATCATCCCTGCAGCACTCTGTATCAAACCAATTGACTTCAAATGAGCAAAACAAATCCTGTTTTTGATTACATGAACCCTTAAATGTTTTATCATGTTGCATAACTCTAATGCATCTCTTGATGTAAAGATCAAGTGCAAAAAAAATCGTCAGAGACATGACGTACATGAAGTTAACATGCCGTTATGTGTAATGATCTCCTCTGACCGCGGACAGACATGCTGCAAGGTGCTCTCAGCGAGCAATTAAACCTCTCACACAATTAAAACCTCTGCGATGGTCCCTGCTGTGTGCGCTGTTAAACACCAGTGGGTTATTTCTGTCTGACAAATGGTGTGGAACCAGAGACATTCCTCTTCTGTTCAATACGCCAGCTTGTGTTTGGCTGTTCCCGAGAACGTTGTTCTGTTATATTTGCACAAATCCAGAGAGGGCAGCCCATTTAGAGATGCTGTGCTGTGCCACGACTGTTCCCTTGATAGCAATTCAGCTTCCTCTGTAGCGCCGGATCCGAAGTGATTGGGTTAGGATGGCTTTATGTAACTCCTCTAAGAGGCTAATTTACTAAAGAATTTGCTTTCTCTTGTTTTTGGGATGTTGAAGGTGTAAACGTTTGGCTCCTAACCGACTTACTGAGGTTACTTTCTTGTTTTTATGTTAGAATAGTATCATATGAATAAACGTGCTGTTATTCTGAATATCAGGACGGCTGTAAATCAACCACATTAGCTACAGTAGCAGTCACATTAGTGGTCATATTTCTATTTAAATTGGAAAAAAAAATTCTAAATATATTTTTAAGTGTATTTTAGACACACACACACACACACACACACAACATTTCCAATTTTACCATAAATGCAAATGTGGATGGAATAGACTATTAGAGATCAAAACTAGATTTGCTAGATTTGTAAAAAAAAATGTAATGTTTCATTTATATATATTAGAACATCCAATGATCTGGCAACCACCCATAAACCCTAGCATCATAGCACTGAGATTAGTAAATAACCCCGTCTAGCAATGCTAATATGCAGCTAGTTTGCATTTATTTATTTTCTGTGGTATGAAATGTTGTTAGCCATCTTTATGACATTCCCTTTTGAGTCCTGACATGTTTATTTTTTTACTCTTAGACAGTGACGGCAATGACAATGGATTTGACTTCACTTAACATGACTTGACTGCAGCAGAAATAAGTATAAGTAGCTTGTTTGCAATAATTTGTCCAGAAACTCCTCAGGGTTTGTTGTTAATTGGTCAGTGTGTTTTGAGTGTGCATTGACTTACTCAGGCCTGTGTGATGAGGATGTGGTGTGTGTTGGAGGTTTTGTGTTGATGTGTGACTAATGTTAATGGTTTTTTGAAGATGTTGAGCTCGTAAAATGGCTCCTGTCAGAGATAAAGATTTAGATGGTGCAAGCAATTTCCGTAATTCCTCAAATACAAGACCTTGAAGTGAGATGGGAATTGGGTGACCAGGTGTCTTTTTTTTGTGTTAGGCTGGAAATAGCCTTCTTTTTTTTATTGTGCGTTCAAAAAAAAAAAAAAAAAACCAAAAAAAAAAAAAAAAAAGCCACAACACAAAAAAATAAGCACAACACAATGAAAACAAGCCACAACACAACAATATTAGCACAACACAATGGAAACAAGTCACAACACAATGCAATTAGCACAACATAATGGAAACAAGTCACAACACAACAAAATTAGCACAACACAATGAAATTAGCACAACACAATGGAAACAAGTCGCAACACAACTAAATTAGCACAACACAATGGAAACAAGTCACA